CAGACATGAAGGAGGAGCGGGCCTAAGCCAGCGGTGGTTATATCCCGAGGGGTCCCAGACTGTGAGAGGGCACAAGTGGGGCTGAGGGACATCTCCCCTCTCGCCAGTGCAAAAAATTTTTGTGCACTGGGCCTCTAGTACTAGTTATAATAACTATGAATATTAAAAATAAACATGATAATATAAGGCTAACTAACAATTATGTATGATTTAAAATTTGCCAATTTCATAGTAAAAGCATTTTATTTATTTACTTATTTGTATTAAATCTTTATTGTTGAAAGTATTACATATGTCCCCCTATGAGCCCCATTGACCCCTTACACTTTCATATACATGATTTCCAATGGCTACTGTGGAGTGTGGGGGCTCAGCACTAAGAAAGTGCATTATTTCTATGTAGAGATGGGCCAGGGGACAGGGGCTTGGGGAGACCATGGCTCCCCTCTCCAAAGTCCTAAATAAACTATGTCCTGCCCAAGAGCCAGAGGCCAGCCTGCTTCTCACCTCCCATGATGCCTAATTTCCAAAGGACCGGGATGCCAAGGCAGATGCAGAAGAAGACTGAAATGATCAATATGATGACTCTGTGTATGACAGGATGGCTGAGGACTGTAATGGTGGTACCAAAACAAAGAGAAAAAACAAAAGCCCTGTCAAATCAAAAAGACACCTCCCTCAGCACCTACTTTCCCCAGGCAGCACATGTCGCCCCCATATTTACTGACTCATTATGTGACAGTCACTATCAGGTTCAGGGGTGTAAAGATTAACAGGGGTTGTGCTGTGTCCTTATGGAGCTCATATTGTACTGAGACAGCAAATGTCCGGTTATCATTCATTAGACATGTTTACCAGGTAGACCTTCCTAAGGGTGACAGAATTGGGGGTGCTTATTTCAGTCTGAGGAAAGAGGTGAAGGCTTCCTAAGAAGTGACCTTTGAACTGGTTAAAGGTTAACTAAAACCCAGGAAGATGAGAAGGCCTGGAATGCTTTCAGATGCATAGAATTTGGAAACCATCTAAGAGTCCAAGAAGACTGAATCATTGCTTAGCTTGGGCGAGGACTCCTGCCCTGAGGGAGGTGAGATGGGAAATGAGGATGGTGGGATATCTGATGCAGCCATTGACTCTCAAGACAGGAAGTCCACTAAGAAATTAACCCATCCATGCATCCATCCAATCTTTAATTACACACATACACCCACACAGGGAAGGCATTAGACCTTTAATGAGCTACCACATTGTCACATCCCAATCAGTTACCTGTGGACTGCAGCACTTTCTCCAATGTTCTAAGAATTCCCTCAGCCCTCCAGCTCCCTTCCTCCACCCCATTCTCCTGGCTACCTATCCCTTTCTGTTCCTTTCCTGATTTCGCATTCATTCCTTCTTTTCCCAAAAGACTCGAGATTTTCATTCCTAGGAGCACTTCTGTCTTAATGAAAGGGCAGAAGACATTCTTAGCTGTCCTGACATCAATGATGTTTTCCTAGCCATTTCTAACCCAGTAGAGCCCAAGGCCTTTTTAAAATAATATATTTTTATTGCTTTCAGAGAGGAAGGGAGAGGGAGAGAGAGATAAAAACATTAATGATGAGAGGGAATCATTGATTGGCTGCCTCCAGCACGCCCACTGCTCCTGTTCTGGACCCCGTCCTCGTGCCCGCCCCCCCTCCCCTGCCCCCGCAGGTTCCATTCTGGCTTCACTGCTGAGCTCCGCCCAGAGACAGTCCTTAGTAGAAGCTGGGCCAGGAGGACAAGACCGAATTTTCTGCCCACAGTCTACGCCATCGCGACCTGGAGCCGCATCAGTAGGGTCCAAGGAGGGAATGAATCCCTGAGTGTTGTCCCTGCCCCTGGTCTTCCAGGTTGCCTCTCCCCGAGGCCCAGCACCAGCACCTTGGGGCGAAGTGCCCCAGCATTTCAATCCCTTCTCCTCCCCTTCTCCTCGGGACCCTCAGCCCCCTTCCTCCACCCCATTCTCCTGACCACTTACAGCTTTCCGTCTCCTTTCCCAACTTCACGATCATTTCTTCTTTTCTTAAAAGACTCAAGACTTTCGGTCCCAGAGCACTTCCTTTTTAAAGAAACAGGTAGAAGACATTCTTAGCTGTCTTCATCAACATGTGTTTCTACTGGTTTCTATCCCAGTGGAGCCCAAGGCTTTTGTTGACTGAAGTACTTCCTCTTTGGAATACTGACTCAGGATTTTTATTTCCAAGTTTGTTCTGCAGGCAGGTGTTGAAAGGCCTACAGTGCCACCTGGAGGCCTCTGATAGGGGTCAGGGCACTTAAGGCTTTCAGTTCTGCAACTGGTTTTAGCCTCTTTGGCCTTTTCCTCATCACACTGGTCTCATTCCTTCAACCATTCACACAACACCAACCAGCACGTAAGTAGCATGGGGGTCCTCTGGGGAGAATCACCCTAAACCAGAGTAAACCCATGGCCTCTTCAGTCTGAGAAGCTCTCCCGATTCCTGTTCAGAGGGTCCTGTGTATGGTTCATATCTGCACATCAAAGGCAGCTCAAGCGACAGAGGAAGTGCCATAGACTGCAGTGCATGGCCCATCTCTCTCATCCATAGAGACCCTGGCCCCCAACCTCTGGGAGGGCAGCACCAGGCTACTTGCATGGTCTCCTCACTTAATCTTCTCAGTCCCTAAGGTAGCGTTTCCTGTATCACAAATGTGAAATGGGAGCATGGAAAGATGAAGAAACTAGCACAGGCACATCAGCCAGAAATTCACCCAGATACCTGATTCCTGTGTGTGGACGTGTGGGATATAGTCCCCATTAAGTAATATAGCTTCAGGAGCCAATCCCACCAGCTCCTGGGGGCTGGTGTGAGTCTGGGGGCCAGGAACAAGCATTGGGGTGAACCAGGACGTGCAGGTGTCCAGAGAGGTCCGTCCTTCTCCCACCTGGCCTTTTCGCCAGGTCTTTCATGCCAGCCCCCGCTCCCTCCTGTTCTCCCAGTCACTTCCCTCCTTCACCCAGCCTTGTGGGATGAGCCTCCCAGGCCCTTCCTGGTGGCCTCCTGCCAGGGATTAAATCCAGGCTTCTGTCCCCCAGCCCTGTGCATGGAGTCTCTTGTTACACACAGATCACCTGGATCCACCAAGATCTAACCCCAACCAAGCCTGTGCCCTGCCCAACCCTACATGTCTCTTGTCTTCCAAAGCACACAGCACAGGCCCCTTTTGCATAATGGCTCTAGTGAGTCAGTCCAGAACCTTCTATATCTTTTACATCTGTTAATTCACAGAGTTTGCTGCTATTCTATGTCCCTCAGTTTAAGAGGAGAGAGGCCTGGCATAGGCTTCCTCCACCGACCTTCAGTCTTGGGACAATTGAACTGTCACATGGAGCTCATTGTCTTCACTAGGTGACTGTGCGGAGCAGGAGGCCTTAGTCTATGTGGCTTATTTAAGGGGGAGAAGGCTCATGGATGGGGGCAGGGTGGACTCAGGACTTCCTAGTCCTTACACAAGCTAAGACCCCGCCTCAGCCAGAGCCACTGGACACTCTCCCCCCTCCCTTCCACACTTTCTAAAAATCAATAGAAAAAAAAATCCTCTGGTGAGGAATAACCGAAAAGAAGGAAGAGGAGGAGGGGGGTGGTGAGAGAAGAAAGAAGGAAGAAGTGAGGAGTAGGAGGAGGGAACGAAGAATGAAACCTTACCTCTTCAGACAGCATGAATGGACCTGGAGAGCATTATCCTAAGTAAAATAAACCAGTCAGAGGAAGACAAGTACCATATATTTTCACTTCTATGCGGAATCTGATGAACAAAATAGAGTAACAGACAGACTCATGGATACAGAGGAAAGACGG